AGCAGAGTCCAGTCCAGATACTTGCATAGAGGCCAAGCCCCCACACAAATTGCCGCTAAGTAAGAAGCCTTCCACCCAGTTGCCCCCCAAAAAGTCAGCTGTTGCTTTGAGAGGACGGTCTTCAGCTGTTCCCATAGCTTCCGCTGCCAAGAAGCCCTCAGCCGGACTAAATGCCAGCGATTTCCTTAGTCCGCCTCGACTGACTCCGTCATCACAGGATCTACGTTCACCAACATCCTCAGCAAGCTGCGCCGGCAGGAATCCATTTAAGGTTATTCAAATGTATGATGGCTGAGGGAAGGACTTGATGGGTAAAAAGACATTAGGATATGAGATTGTGGATCGTTTGTGGATAATTTCCAGAGTCGGACCGCGGACATGATACAATCTCAGGCGTTTCACCGGCATCGTCAGTGAGCCTTGCCATTCTTAGCACCAAACTACAACTCGTCAAAGTAACAAGTGAAACTGATCCTTTGATAAATTGTCTGCTAAACAATTGTGGTATCTTTTCTTCTGCCCTGGGCTATTCACCAGTCCTATATCCTTGTATAATGCTTTCACTATCACAATTTCTTATTTCAATGTTGTATGGTATACGCTCTTTAGAAGATTTAATGAGAACTCTCTAAACCTCACGCTGGCCTTCTCACCCCCTCACTTCGCAATCCTCTTCCAATAGGTCTTATCAGAGTCCTTCTCTTGCCCCGTAGGATCCGCCTCCTACCTTCAGCATTCAGGAATTTTACTCTACGCCTGCCCGAAGCATTATTTCCTACATTGTCCCTAGCCTTTGATGGCACGCGTACTCCCGCCTCGCTGAATAGGCCCCTAAAAATCAGGATTCTCAAGCTGGATGAAAGACTAACTTGAGGCTAAGGAGCCCGAGCAATTCTCATTGTTACCCTTTGCTTAATGGACCATGTCTATGATCAAACATGTTTACTGCTAACCAACTAGCTCTAGTCTCCCCCACATCTATCGTGCTTCTATCCATAATGCCAAGTCTATGACTTCTTATGCCCTAGTTTCTTGTGTGTCAACACAAATGTTGTGGTTCTAGATTGAACCTAATCAAAACAAGTAGGACCACAACATTTGTGGGTTAACACACAAAAGACTGGGGTATAGAACTTCATAGACTTAGCACTATGGCTACAAGCACGATAGATGAGGCGAAGACCAGAGCTAGTTAGCTAACACTAGACATGTTCGACCATAGACGTAGTCCATTAAGCAAAGGCTTGACCATGGGAATTACTCGGAGCCTTTAGCATCAAGTTAGTCTCGCATCCAGCTTAAAAATCCTGATTTTAAGGGGCCTACTCAGCGAGGTGGGAGTATGCGTACCATCAAAGGATTAAAATAGTCTGGAAAATAACGCTTCGAGTAGTATAGAAACGATGGCAGGGGTCGAGTTAAATACCTGAATCAGGAAGGTAGGAGGCAGATCCTACGGGGCAAGAGGGAGACGCTGATAAGATCTATAGGAAGAAGATTGCGGGGTGAGGGGGTGAGAAAGCCAGTGTGGGTTTGGAGAGTTCTCATGAAATCCGCTAAAAGGGCACACTATACCAAATTAAAATAAGAAATCGCGATAGTGAATGTGTGATACAGGGATATAGGATTGGATAGCCCAGGATAGTAGGAGAGATATTACAATTATTTAGCAGACAATCGGTCAAATGATCGGCTTCTCTTGTCTCTTTGACGAGTTGTAGTATAGTGCTAAGAATGGCATAGCTCACTGAGGATGCCTGCGAAACGTCTGGGGATATACCACATCCACGGTCTGACTCTGTAAATTGTCATGCATACTATAGACTCCGGACTAGGTGCGTTTCTCTAGGTCTTCCTACCAATATGACTAAGTTGCGAAAAGATGGTCAAACGACTTATATTAATTTATGCTTTAAAGCTTTCTTTTATTGGAGACTAAAATAGCTGTACGTTTGTACACTGCACTTCTTTTAACTATAAACTTGTTAATATTTACTCAAATACCATGTTACAATAATTGTCGTTTTATGGAATGCATACTGAAGAATTCAGTACTTTCTTAAATCTTATTGACTCATCCTATGCATACTTGCGAAAGCAACTTGGTCTTGTGTTCAAAGAGACTATGTAGAACGCACCGAGTCCGAAGTCGTTTGCCATAGTAGTTGTCTTGATTCCTAGCATCCACCTAGAAATCCACTTGAGATTCCGCATGGGATTCAGAGCTTAAGCGCTCCGCACAGTGTATGTGCTTCCAG